TGCTAAACAAGCTACAATTAAATACAAATGATTTTTCCCCATACAATTTTACCTGTTTTACTACCAGTCCCCAGAGAGCCAAAAAATTCAAATTTGAGAGAGAAATTTTCTCTCACGAGCTCAATCTCTCAACATGCCATGTATTTTGTTGACACTCGATTTGTGATTTCCCTTTCACAGATTACAAAATAGAGTACCTGACACTACAAAACATGTCTGGTACCTCTATATATGCATTTGCTTTAACATTTGAAGTCCCTCCTTTTTTACATATTCTGCGCAAAAGATACTTTATGCCCCGCCCCATACATAAAATTCGGCGGGAATTTATGTGAGGGGTGAGCTAATTTGTGTGCAGAATGTGTAAAAAAGGAGGGACTTCGAATAATAATCTAAATGCATATATAGAGGTATCAGACATGTTTTGCACTGCAGTGTCCTCTGTGAACAATTATAGGAAAACAGATTGTGTCTAGTTTCCGATAGATGTCAACGCAAACAACAGCTGTGACATCTGATGGAACATGAATGCAGAAGCTTGACAAAATGATCAATTCTATACTTCTACCACCGAGCGTTATATGTGTAGGCGTTTACACAGATGGCTGGAAGAGACGCGCTGCGTGGATGACCTTCGTTGTGGTGCACTTGATCGAGGCTCGGTACTCAGCGCACACAGGCGCACGATGATTGATGAACGATGTAGATGTAGAAACGGGTGCTCACACTCGATGATGATGATACGTGCGCGGGTATGCGTAAGCGCGTATGCGTGACCACGCAACGATGATGCCCAAATTGGTTCGCGAATTTCCAATAGCACGGATTACTCTTTCCGAAAATGACACTTTCTACTAAAAAAAAAAACTCACTTTTCGATCAATTTATCGGGAACTATGCCAGGAGTCACTTAGTGAGAAAAAAAACTGATAATTTATATCAAGCGAATACCGAGAAAACTTCCAAAACAACGGAGCGCGATACAAGTCGACCGTACTTCTTGCTAGGACCCAAAGGAATGAATGTTTTTATTTTAAAATGCATTCTATTCTTTGGAATATCCTTAGCATCCCTGAGACTTTCAGGTATTTTCAGGACAAATAAAATTCCCTGAGAATTTCCGGTTTTTCAGGTTTTTCTAGGCAGCAGACACTTGGAGGTTTAGTCCTAAACTTTCTATTGAATTTTTTGCTTTAAAGGTTCCTATCATACATATTCAAGTGTTTATGAGATTCTAATTGAATAAGTTTAAAACATCAAACATTTCTTTGGTATGCCATCAGAACGACTAATTTTCTTCCCAAAGGTTACTTTTTAGTCACTTTTTTTACAACTATAAGTCACTATTTGGTCACTTATTTCTTCAAAATGGTAACTAAAATCACTATTTTTGACAGCATTGATCGCTACCAGCCCTGTATTATAACATATGGATTACTAGGTCGATCGTCATTTAACCGAAACTAAATTTTCAGTCATACTTCGGCTGATGTCATCGGTATTTTATGAATTTGTACAAAAATACAACATGTTTATAAATAATGTATCCAGGGTGCCAGAACCTTGCAAAACTCTAGGGATTGTATTCAAGTTTCAAGTTTTTTCTAGTCGTATTAAAATTAAGTTGGTTTTAAATCTTAGAATCCTCTGATTTTCCACCCCCGGATCTTTTTAATTTCCTCAAAAACCCTTACCATTTTTTTTTTAATTTTCTTAAGAATTTTCTTAGCAACACGTTTTAAGGTATCGCATTCAAATTATTGGTAAAGATGACGGGAATCATGCTCAATAATATTAGGAAGAAAACCAGAAATAATAATGAACCAGGATGGAAAAGCGATAAATTGGTTTATCGAATTGTTTAAGGAATCCAAAGCTTGCAAGAAATTAAAGATTTTTTAAGGTTGCGAACTCATGTTTTGCTCGATATCTGAATTTTATTTTCACCAGACAGTGACAGATTTTTAAAATTCGGAGTCTAATATAATTTTAAATTGTTCCTGCTTCGGTAAATGTTGAGCATTTCAAACATATTTTTTTTAAACCACGGCTTATAAAAGAGTCATAACCTTGCAATAATAGTCCTTTTAATATTGTCCATATAATCAACTTTAAACGATAAGCATTTAGATATTTTGTGACTCCAACAATTAGGCAAATCAAAATGATAAAGTTTCTTTAGTAACTCTAATTTATTAAAAATTTTAATAAACGTATAATTATAAAGATGTTAAACATTTTTATGCATGAAAAGGATTTTGATATTCTACAATTTGGTGAACGTTCAATACTTAAAAATTTCTTATTTTATTGGGAATGTTCTCATCTCATCTCATGTATTTAACACTGCTTCTTGACGCCAAACTCGGCCTAACGCATTGCAAAGCCATTGAAACGCCATTGAATTCACTTCGGCATACCCGATGATGATAAAAATTGATTCGGTCGGAGCGCTTATTTTGCTTTTGGGAATAATAGGTGCAAACCTTCGTACCACGCGTTCTCATTGACTTCTTTCGGTAGCTCATTAACTAAAGTATCGTACCAAACGCATAATTGACTTGTTAACTCTGAAATCATGGATTTATTTGAAGTGTTCTGCTCGATAGGCCCAAAATGGGCGATTAGGCCGAAGTAGTTCTCTACCCTATTCATTACAGTTTCTTCAGATTTTCCTATAAGCATTTTTCCGAAACCTTTTGAAATTCATCTCCGACCTACTATTGAAGTTTGTTAATAATTTCCTTCAAACTTTCTTCAGAATACTCGTGAAAATTTCCTCAGAACTTTGTTGAAATTCTTTTTAGAATGTTGCAAGAGATCTCCTTAAAATTCCTTAATATTTATTAATAACCTATTGAAATTATCTCTCGAGCTAAAAATTTTCTTTTGAATTCTAGACAAATTGTCAATCTTTGAAGTACCAGACTGTTGAAAAACAAGCTAATTATAAGAAAATTCAAAATATTTCAATATGTCAGATTATTGGGAAAGTTTTAGAGTCATTGGAGTTCCATGGAGGAGAAAAAATCAAATACACATTGGATTTAAAGAACAAAATATAAAAAAAAATATAAAATGTGTTCTTAGCCCTTCAATAAAAACCAAGAATTTTCGTAGTCTGTGATTATCAAGAAAAAAAATATTGTTGCTTTTCCGAGTTTACTGATATAATTAATCTAACTTCAATCTGATCCAGAAACTCAAACAAATGTGAGCATGAGCATGATTGACCGCTCACGGTTGCTACTCTGTCATTGCCAGACCAGCTGTTACCACACAGAGAATCAATAGACGATGCTTGGGACTAGCAATCATCCTCAATTTGTAAAAACTGGTGATCTCAAACTAGGCAATACCAGCGCCGGCCGCGCCCGAATACTGGTCAAGAAAGAAAGGGGTAGCAATGTGTTGACGTGACTCTCGCTTTGATGGAAGCCGAGAACACCTCTGCACTTCCACGAGGAATGACTGGGATATTGGGTAATAGGGTTGGGTTTGCAGCAGGGTTCGTTTTGTTAAACGATAAGCTGAATTGATGTCCTAACGATCATATAACGCGCGAAGGAGCTTGGGATTGAACCCACGGTCTTCTACTCAGTAAGCAAAAACGTTTGCCACTAGGCAGACGAGCTCCTTTTTAATCATCGAGTTGCTGTTATTACCATGTAGTCATGTTAAGAAATAAAACGATTGACGAATCTTGAATGTGGATGGGCCTGAGATTAGACTCATGATGTTCTGCTCAGTAAGCAAAAACGGTTGCTCTAAGGCCACCGAGCCCCTCATATCACATTATACCGTTACTCAAGTTGTTATAACTATTCAAGCCCGGCACCGACGACGTTCAATGTTTCGATTTGCTCTTTACGCATGGTTCAGGCAATCATAACAAGCTATGACCAACGTTACGATTGTTTCCCTGGTTAAACAAGCTATTCAAATGAAATTACGTTCTCGAATTTCACTTCACATTTCAGCGATTGATGGTTAATTTTAAATATACTAACGGTACTGCCGACTACGACGGCGATTACGACAGCGGCTACGACGGCGAATACAAAGGTGCCTACGACAACGACAACAGAGAATTTGTAACTTACCATTTGTCTAGGATATAAAACCTTTGCCCGGCACTTCCTCTTGAACTTCATGTCTGCTATCTGTAAATTGTTTGAAAAAATATCTAATAGCAATTACCTTTGTTGTGATACTTCCTGCATTGCCATGGTCATCTGGGAGGAGTTTTGCGTCTAGTGATTTCCTCAGGAACCGTTCACGGCCACCAGCAACCGCCCGTACAGCCTTGGGCGTATCCAGTGAGGCATCCTTCAGCTTGCTCACAATCTCCGACACTGGGGAGAGACCAGCAGGCGAGCGCTTTTGCAAGCCGTAAACTTGCTGATTCACTTTCCCCAGCTAATTTACCAACCGGACCGTGTTCAAACTCGCACACGGTGACGAGACTAGAAAAATTTCCAATCGATTGGATTGTTTTTTGTTTAGAATTAATTGACATAGTTATAAGTGGTCAAAACCTGACCATTTTTCGTAACGTGGCCGATTTTGGTTTTTTGAAATCGCACCCCCCATACGTTGCCGAAAGACGTCAAAATCACGGTCAGAACAATTAATCTGAATAGCAATGCTGTACTTGAGCGTTTTTTAAGGATTTAAGAAGCATTTCATCGTTTTAAAGTTACAAAAACCTTTTTCGCCAGAAAAAAATATTACGCACATAAAAATGTGAAACAATTCTTAATTCAAGATCCTGGAATCTGATATATTATATACAATGGAATATAATTATCGAAATCCCACTAAGATAAAATTAGCACTAGGAATGTTATGCAAGTACGTGATTTCAAGTCATGCAAGTCCATGACCTATTGCTCACTTGGGTGCTCCGTGGCAGAAACGACAGTCAACGCATTCAGATCCACTCTTTTTTTCGAACCACCCTCACCACTCAGTAAATCATTCTTTCAACCCACCCACAGCCCTCACATCGATGCCAACAATGACCACGATGGAACATTACACCAACCTCCTGCCATCGACGGTGCCCGGATCGACATCCGCAATTGAGACCCACCAGGTCGTCGTCACGTCGACCCACAACTTTCATCACCCCGAACCGCCGTCGTTCTCGTCGCCATCATCGTCATCACACCCACTCGTATCGGTAGTAATGGCAACACCAACGGCATCGCTGACCCAACCGACCTCCATCACATCAAATTCCGCTTGCAATGATGGCGATGGCGATGATGATGATGATGACGATGATGATAACATTGTCGCCGGTTCGTCCACGTCAGCGGAAATCTTTTTCACCATGGCTAATAATGCGTCCGAAAATAATACTGTTTACGTTGATGAAATTGTTGGCACCATCAGCGAGGACAGCTCGGCCGTATCCTGGCAGTGTAAAATATGCCCATTCAGGTATTTGTTGATTGTCCTTAGTCCGTACCGAGTACACCGAATTCGGAGCATGGTTTGCTAATTTTCCCGAGAAAAAAGTTTCATTTTCCCGTTTCTCTTCATTAATTTTTCGTCGTTTTCATTTTTTCAATCTCGAACCCTCCCTTCAGGACGACTTCCCAGGCGGAATTTCTGTATCATGGAATTTTGCACTCGTCAAAGGTTAACTCCCCGGCTGGGGCACCAGACAGGACAGCCAAAATCACCTGCCCGCTGTGTAAAAAGCAATTTTCCAAGGCATCACTGCGTTGCCACCTGCGACAGCATACGGATGAAAGAATCTTCCCATGCGAGCTGTGTACGATGAGTTTCACCCGGAAAGCAAATCTCAAGAATCACGTGGCGAACGTTCACGCTGCGAAGGAGCAAACCGACAATGCTAATCAAGCGATGATAGGGCAGCTGGCGGAGTCCCCGAGAAGTGCTGTCTGTTCAACTTGCGGAAAAGCGTTCTCAAACAGGTGAGTAGGGAACTATTATCTTAAAACATCAATTCTATATCTATCTACTACACGTAACATTTGACTTATGGGTGGTTGATCAAACTCACAAAAGGTTAATTACTCCGAAGTAGAATAGAGCTTCAATAATGCTTAAACTGACAACTTTATGTGACCAGCGCAGATCCGAGCTCACCGCAACAGAGACGCTTGTCTGACACGTTCAACAGCTGGTGTCAGACCTCTGGTGTCTGAGCTCCACTTTCAGAGCTTGCGAAAGCACACAACTCGATGTAAATAATTAAATATTTTTATATCCTTACACCATAGTTTACGGCTGTTTAGATAAGCCCTCGTTCTCACTCACCAAACGGTGCTGTCCAACGTTCTGGCTGTGCCATCTACCAATGATGGTGCTATCCGAGCGGCGACCGAACCTGGACAAAAATTGTCAATACAACAAGACTGATCCCTGAAAACCACGTATCCACCCGCACTCATCCACACCAACCGCGTGTGTCCCATCAGAAATCCTGGATAAACATAATACGGGGAAATTACTATCGCCGTTGCTGTAAAGCAAACAAAAACCTCAAATTCCCTGTCCAAACATCGTTGATCCAGCTCGGATCTATTATACGAGACCACCTTTTCCGTATCAGAACTGGAAATTGTACACTGCACCTTTCCTCCCACCTGCAGCAGCAGGACATTGGAACCATGTCTTGGTTTTTGGGAAAACAAAATAACACCATCATCATCAGCAGCAGCAGCAGCAGCAACAGCAGCATCATGACCATCATCATTATTGCCATTGGCGACGTCCGTCGTCGTCGTCGTCGTTCAGCTTAATCCATGTGACTTGGCATCAGTATTATACTAGACTAGCACACCTTTAGCTGTGCAGAAAGGTCGCATGATTTCAGTCAACCACCTTCCAAACATCCAAATTACCTCCCCATTTCCCCTTATCCGTAACGGGAGACTCATTTGACCGTGTATGTGTGTGTATGTGGATTTCAATAAATTTATCGAAGGAGAAAGATTCATTGTAAGTGGTTTCTGCTCACCTCTTGGGCACATTGCTCGTTTTTTCCTCCTGATGGTCACTCTAATCCCCAATGAAGCCCAAACATTATCCCATTGTCCATACGGGCCTGATGCTGATGTTGCTTCCAGGTGTGTGATATGCTGCTTGGATCTCTGCGAGAGCAACAGTGTATAGCTCCGCGGCCGAGAAGCACTCCGGCAAAGCAACGAAGAAAAAGAATAACACAACAAACCGATAAAATGCAAAGTTAATTACAGAAAATCTAACGTAATTTGTGAAAATAGCTACTTGACTTGATAGATTTATACAAAAGTGATGCTTCTTGCTAGGTTGCTCGGGTGAACAAAGGTGGGCGATCAGCGCGACTGCTGCTGCTCTTCCCTGCCCCCATAGCCCTGGATGGGTCACTTTTTGTCGTAGTCCGTTAAGCAGAGGGACGATAGAAATAGAAAAGCATGGGTACATGGAATCAATACACTTATTTATGTGGGTGTATATCGCCACTGCACGATTTGTCGACAAAGTTGGAGAGGGGTGGGTATCCACCGAAAGATCCTGGGTTAAGGACTGTCAGAAGTCGGGTAACAATGTTATCATCAATAATGAACGGCTTTGGTGAGATTAGTGGCCGAATATATGGAGCAGTGTGTTCTGATTTCATTTGCGAAGTCAGTAAATTTACGTTGTTGCTAATTGATTTTCAAAGAAGGGGTAATTGTGTGAATTTCATGGTAATCAGCTTTGTAACTGTCAGTCAAATCTATATGTTGCACATAGCTAGGACACCTATGGTCAGTAGACTGATGCAAAATTTGACATTTTCGCTCCACAGTGCTCAAGCGGTTCCAAATCGAGTCTAGATTAGCCTCCCATTGGTCAGCGGTAGGGCAACAGCGTGATGTGTCCCAAAAACTGGAATCCAATATGAGTCTCTCCAATATTTAGTAAATTTTGCAAAGGCTCTTAAGCGCACTGGCAGAATATGTAGATTTTTCGGGCATCCTATCCACTCTCAGCTACACATCATATTTTCGACATTTTCAACGATAAGTCGAAATAACATTCTAAAACAAATTGAATGCTTAGTAATTAATCGTCTGCACTAAAAATAAATTATCACGTCATTGGAATTTACTTTGTACTCTATATCGTTGACGAAGCCCGATTTAAACGATAACCATAACCAGTTTTCTAAAAAAAAAACAGTTATATGTGTCACCACCGTACTCTTCACCAACCCCATGTTGTTTAAAGTAGTCTAAGAATGCAGGGAAAAGTATTTTCCTTAAAATCTCCGATTTCTAACGAATTTCCATCAGAACTTTTGATTTTCTTTGAAAGATTCATCAAATATGCAACGGAAGTTTCTTATGACTTCTCCTGGAAATGTCTTCTGACTTCCCTTGAAAGTGCCCTCCGACTACTCTTATATTTTCCCAGGTAGGCTCTTCCAATTTCCCGCGGAAGTTTTTTTTTTTTTTCATCTTTCCGCGTAAGCTAGTTCCAATTTAATTACGACTTCCACCTAGGGATACCATCTGATGAAGGTTCAAATTAATAACATTTTGAAATTGTTAGCAAGAACGTTTTTAAAAGTCTCTTTAATATAGAAATCTAATCTTTGTAAAAGATTTATTCTATAAGTAATTTTTTGGTTTCTACCCGTATTTCTACTTGTGAAAATCAAACCGTATCGACAAAAAGTACTAAGTAATCTTCAAAAATTTAAAGTAGCCTTCAATATTCAGTTTGCTAAAAAAAAACACACAACTTCTTATTACAATTCTGCTTGTAATAGTCAGGCTCTACCGAGCTCAAAAACTTCTTCAGGTTGACGAACTGATCAAAAATCAGATTATGGACAATGCAGACATCCTTATTCTTCAAAAACAGAACCGTTTTCCAACGTCTTCATACTTAATCATTGGACAATGGCAATCAAGCCCCTGCAACACCTATCAATCAAATATTAAGCATTGTGAATTAATTAAGGCAGTTATGCTCATACCCAGGAATGGAAAATCATTTGCATTCATTTCGTGCATTCATTTACATTCATTTGCCCATAACTTTTTTAATCAACAGAGTTCCGCAAAATGATGTATGAAGCTTTTGTAGGTTTTATTATTAGCTACAAATATTGTCAAGAACTCAAATCCGTATCTCTTGTGCCTGACGAACCAGAGCAAACATAATCCACTACTGTTACTCGTTACTGAAAAACAGTAACGAGTTCTGCCCGCTCTAATTCGTGATGCATAAGAGATACAGATTTGAGTTCAGTTGTAAGCAAAAGTTGTAGCTAATAACAAAAACTACTAAAGCTCTATAGATCATTTTGCGGAATGCTGTTGATGAAAAAGTTAGAGGCAAATGAATGTAAATGAATGCATGAAATGAATGTTAATGATTTTCCATGCCTGCTCATACCCTCAGACCAGAAAGAGATTCCGTTCACTTCTCCAAATACTGTTTAGTTGCTCTGTAGACTTCCTGAGTAGCAGCTTCAAATTCTAAATTCTAAAATTCTAATTCGGTCCTCACTTTCCTTTCTGAGCTTTAACAGAGTTGATTTTGTGCTTAGAGGTACACACTTAAAATAAATTAGGTGTTCTTAGACTGACATATACGTGCGTCAATTTTGTTGCCAGTACTGCAACAATGTGCATAATGTACTCTAGAACTCACATACTATATTTATGTAAAATTTCACTCACTCATGTGCTCTGCATACTTTCAGTGGTGCAAACCCAAGTAGCATTTCTTGTTTTATTGCACTCTATTAGTGGTTTTTGAGATCAATTCTATAAAACCGTCCATAAAATTAATAGCTCCAGCACAACCTTTTGATAACCGCTATAAGATCGTCTTCCAGCTTAGTGGACCACTCTTGATAAGGTTTATAAAGCATGTTTGAGAGTCACAATAAAGCTGTCTTAAAACCTTTTGTAAGAAAGCCCCATACTCTACAAAAGGTTCTCATAGCCTCTTTGAGAGTAATATTGAATTCAAGCAGTTTTATTACGCTTTGGTGAAAATCAGTTAGGCCGTTCGCAATGCTGTTGTATTTTATAAGGACTGTTTCAATTTGAAACTAGAACAGAAACGCACCTCTCGCAATGCTGATTTCGTTGTTCGAGCACTATTTTGCACCAGATTTGCAACTGCTCGACTTTTCTGTTTTATTTCTGAGCGAGTTTGAAACACGAATGAAACTCTGTTTCAAATTTCTTTGGATGTGTTAAAGATGTTTCGAAGAGCTTCAAAAACAACAAAACCGAGAACTTCACAGAGAACAGTAAAGTTTATGGAACTTGATGATTACAAACATCTTTCAGAACTGTGCGTTGCGCTGATCGTGTTGCAGTTTTATTTTTGAAAGTTTCAAAATATAAAATTGACGAGTAGTTTAAAACAATTTTGAAACTCAGCATTGCGAACGGCCTTATAAATCCAATTAAATTTTTATTGCTTCAAAGCAACCGCCATAAATTAGCTTGTTGTTGTTTTGTTCTGCTGAAACTTTTTTTTTACCATATGGTAATCTTTTGCTGTAAAAATAAGTTTGAGTGTTGGTGTCAAGATCACCATGCAATCAATTTTCTTTCATGGCGACATTAGTGAAAATCTTAAAGAAAATATATGACTTTTTGGAAGTTCCAAAACATATGCGCTTTAAATTTTATCATGTATATTGAGATAATATGAGCGTTAAATAAATGCGCCTCCAAAATAATTCAAGTTAACAAAAAAGAGTGTTTCAGAACTCAAATGAATTTGATGGAATCATCTTAATTTTACAGAAAATAGATCTCAATAAATAAATTCATACCAATGAACACTGGAAATCATTTCAAATCTCTAATTTAGCCATTATTTTATTAAAATTTCTTGGATCTTATTCCAAGCTAATGGCATATTCATAATGTTAATATGGCGACAGAGGACAGGAGGCAAGAAAAACACCAAG